GTCTATCTGTTTTTCTGTTAACAATTTTTCAAAATGCTACTCCTCCTGCAGTTTTGGTCTGATTTCAATATAACTTGGCACACAAGTAGACTACACTAAGATACATAATTCTGTTTATCGGTTTTTGATTTTGATGAATGGTGTTGCCGTGGTTACTAAAAATAGAAATTTCTTTGAAATTGTTTCAAAATGCTACTCCTCGTACAGTTTTGGTCTGATTTCAGTATTACCTGGCACACAAGTAGATTACACTAGGATACATAATTCTGTATATCGGTTTTTGATTTCGATGAATGGTGTTGCGGTGGTTACTAAAAATAGAAATTTCTGTGAAATTCTTTCAAAATGCTACTTCTCCTACAGTTTTGGTCTGATTTCAATATAAGTTGGCACACAAATAGACTACACTAAGATACATAATTCTGTATATCGGTTTTTGATTTCGATGAACAGTGTTGCCGTGGTTACTAAAAATAGAAATTTCTTTGAAAAACATTCAAAATGCTAATTCTCCTTCAGTTTTGGTCTGATTTCAATGTAACTTGGCACACTTGTAGACTACACTAAGGTACATAATTCTATATATCAGTTTTTGATTTTGGTGAACGGTGTTGCCGTGGTTACTAAAAATAGAAATTTCTTTGAAAAACATTCAAAATGCTACTCCTCCTACAGTTTTGGTCTGATTTCAAATATAACTTGGAACACAAGTAGACTACACTAAGATACATAATTCTGTATATCGGTTTTTGATTTCAACGAACCTGTTGCCATGGTTACTAAAAATAAAAATTTCTTTGAAAAACATTCAAAATGCTATTCCTCCTACAGTTTTGTTCCGATATCAGTATAACTTCGCACACAAGTAGACTACACTAAGATACATAATTCTGTTTATCGGTTTATTGATTTGATGAATGGTGTTGCCGTGGTTACTAAAAATAGAAATTTCTTTGAAATTGTTTCAAAATGCTACTCCTCGTACAGTTTTGGTCTGATTTCAATATTACGTGGCACACAAGTAGACTACACTAAGATACATAATTCTGTATATCGGTTTTTGATTTCGATGAACGGTAAAAACGGTGTTGCGGTGGTTACTAAAAATAGAAAATTCTTTGAAAAACATTCAAAATGCTACTCCTCCTTCAGTTTTGGTCTGATTTCTATAACTTGGCACACATGTAGACTACACTAAGGTACATAATTCTGTATATCGGTTTTTGATTTTGGTGAACGGTGTTGCCGTGGTTACTAAAAATAGAAATTTCTTTGAAAAACATTCAAAATGCTACTTCTCCTACAGTTTTGGTCTGACTTCAAATATAACTTGGAACACAAGTAGACTACACTAAGGTACCTAATTCTGTAAATCGGTTTTTGATTTCAACGAACCTGTTGCCATGGTTACTAAAAATAGAAATTTCTTTGAAAAACATTCAAAATGCTACTCCTCCTACAGTTTTGGTCTGACTTCATTATAAATTGGCACACAAATAGACTACACTAAGATATATAATACTTTGTATCAGTTTTTGATTTCGCTGAACAGCAAAAACATGTTGCCGTGGTTACTAAAAATAGAAATTTCTTTGAAAAACATTCAAAATGCTACTCCTCCTTCAGTTTTGGTCTGATTTCTATAACTTGGCACACATGTAGACTACACTAAGGTACATAATTCTATATATCGTTTTTGATTTTGGTGAACGGTGTTGCCGGGGTTACTAAAAATAGAAATTTCTGTGAAATTCTTTCAAAATGCTACTTCTCCTACAGTTTTGGTCTCATTTCACTATAACTTGGCACACAAGTAGACTACACTAAGATACCTAATTCTGTATATCGGTTTTTGATTTCGAGTTACCTGTTGCCATGGTTACTAAAAATAGAAATTTCTTTGAAAAACATTCAAAATGCTACTCCTCCTACAGTTTTGGTCTTAGCTGATTTCAATATTATTTGGCACACAAGTAGACTACACTAAGATACATAATCAGTTTTATGATTTTGATCTGATGATTGATGTTGCCATAGTAATTTAAATTGAAAATTCTGTAAAATTTTCTTAAAAGCTACTCCTACAGTTGTAATCTTATTGCAATCTTGCCACAAAAAGAGACTTAATCAAGGATCATTATTCTACTTGTTGCTTTTGTGAAGTTTTAATTAAGTCCCAACTGCTATCTTTACTCTTCCTTTATTAGAAGTACAAAGCAGTAGAGCTACTGTCTTGAAAGAGACTTCTGGTTGTAATATACCACACAGATAACAAAGTATGGGTTAGGTGTAAAATAATAAAAAAGGGACCACGGCATTATGCTAAAGTCCAAACATTCTTTCATGTGCTAATACATATTGATGTAAGCATCAACATTTATTGACCTTGACCTTTGACTTTAACACATTTATTTTAAATTAGCGTTTAGCTCAATTTGACATAAACCATACAAATAGTTTTGCAAAGTTTATATGGTGATACGTATTTGTGAGAACTATTCATCTGCATGAGAAATGTTTGATATTGACCTTTCCTATGACCTTGACCTTTACTTTGACCTTTTTGATCTCACTTTTCCTAAATTTGCATTTTGCTTAGTTTTAAAGAAACTATTTAAGATATATTTATGTAAGCTTATGCACTTATTCATTATTTGGTGAGAATTTATCATCTGATAGCCAACTTTTTAGATTTCAATTTCAATATGGGAGTTTCGAGATTGTAACTCTCCTACAACAGAGGTGCAAAAAGTATCCATTTCAGCATGGAGGTGGGACAGGTTGCTTCTGTATACAAACATGCATAAATAAATGAACGTAAAATTTATTTTAAATTTGTAGAAAGATAATAATGTTAAACAGTGATGCATTTGATGATTTTATTAAGCTCAACTCTAATTTCCACTCGCCTTGTTCTTGTATTAGCTGTCCAGCAACCGAAGGCTGGTGGCTGAGTCGCTCCACGCGACGAGGGGGGTAGGTGCGGGAGGGGGTTTCCTTCTTCTGCTGGTGGGGGTACGGGAGGCCTTCCCCGGGAAATTTTGCTGTATTTTGGATAAAAATTGTTACTCTATGAAGTATGACAATAAAACATATGTTTCAAAATAAATTTAACAATGATCAGGTACATTGTGTGTAGATTATAATTATTTTTGTTGCTCTGAGTGAGTGTTTGGTAAAATTTACAGTAGTCCTGCAGGGCAAGTTTAAAGGCATGTTTAGTAGTCCGACCTCAATATTCAGTTGTCCCGGGCCAGCAGGCTACCGTTAGTGTCGAACCCTGATTATATTGCATTTTTTTGTGCATTAATTTATTAGTGTAGTAAGTTTTAATTTGAAATTTAATTTTAAATTAATTTCCCCAAGTAGCATTTAAATGTAAAGTGTCTACTTGTAAACAAACAGATCATTTGTTAACTTCTTGTTGAAAAGTACACTTATAAGTAAAATTACTTTTTAAATGCTGTGGTTTGTAACCACAAAGCCAGACTTTTTTCATTACAAACATAGCTTAATGCTAAAGAATTGTAAAACAATGGGTTCTTGGTAATGCAAATGCCCACATGAGATGCTAATTTTTATTGTTTTCAACTTGAATGTCTACTGTTAGTGAATTTTGCAGGTTTCTTGGATATATAGTTTTTTTTCTGTATAATTATAGAGATTTTTTTACTAGTCTGTAATGTCTCTATGGACTATCTGTTGAATAACAGAGAATGGGGATGGATTATAGAAGGCCTAACTAAATCAATGGTGCCACTGGATAATTTTTATATTTCTAGACGCTCTGGGATCTTATATACTTGGTGAAAGATCTTTTTCTCTGTGGTGAAGAGTTAGAAAACTCAATTCTGTATGGGTTTATTTGTTATGACAGATTCTAGTAGTTGATGGACAGTGGATGTTATTTGTGGATATAATTTTATATAATTTGGGTACTCTTTTAGTAGTTTGCTGGATACTGTTGTATATGACCTAAAATTTTTATTAGTTTTAAAATCTATGTATAATAACTTATCAAGGATATTGTATGTAAAAAGCATAAATTTTTAATTCACCCCTTTAATGATACAACATGCTTGTTACTCCCATACATAGTCCATTTTGGGGAACCTAGGGATATTTGGATCATTTACCCCCTCAATATATAACTATATATATGCCTGGATTCAAAAATGGTTTTTTTTTCATATATGGTCCTTACACAAAAATCAAGAAATAGAAAAACTTTTTGTTCATGTAAAGACTTGAACTTTGTTATGGATGACGTTCTTACTTCACATATTAAAAGGTGGTGGTGACAGAAATCTGTGATATGATGATATGACCCCCATCTCGAGGTCAAGGTCATTGATCTTGACACGTACAGTGAAACTCTAGTCTGGCAAAGAATTGTTAAACAGAACAGATTCAAATTGTTCATAATTTTCACCAAGATTAATTCAGTCATATGTACATTTATTCAAATCTGTTCTAGCTGCAATCGAGAATGCCCACCATGGTATGCTCTCATTGACTTTATGGTTTTGAGTATAATGCCCTTCATGGACTGCCATGAGTTTGCTCACTTTAAGTCCCATTATACTTAACTTGTTGAAATAGTTGTGATATTCAATCCATGAATAAAACAAGTAATGATGAAAAATTCTGTAAGATTAATTTAAAGATCTGCATGTTCCATACTAATGCTTTCTTTGTTCTGCTAATTAATCTGGCTTTAATTAATATCACCCTGAACTTGATAATTGCATGCATTACCCTAATAGTATATAACCTAGCTTGACCTCTGTCCTCACTTTCTTGCTTGCTAGAGGCTGAGAATTTATGGACAAATTTACTAATGAAGTCAAATGCAAAGATTTTCTTATTTGCTTTGAAGTGATTTTTAAATTTAAACTAATTTTTTTTAAAAGTCTTATTTCTGTTAAATTTATTGCTGTCATTTAAAAATCTATCATCAAAAATAATAACATTTTTTGTGTTCCTTGTTTAATTTTTTATTTTTCATAATTTTGAGTCTTATGAATCTGTTTTGTATATTGCCTACTTCTTGTTATATTATTTTCACCTTTGACATCCTACATTTAAAGGTCACCCACAATGGCAGGAGGACTCTTCTCCATTAGTAGAGAGTACTTCACAGAGATTGGAACTTATGATCCTGGGATGGATATCTGGGGAGGAGAAAATCTGGAACTATCATTTAGGGTAAGCTAAATAATCCTGGTCAGTGCACCAAAACTCGCACAGGGATATATTTTTGTGATAAATATTTAAAGAGAGGACACTTGGAATTTGTCAATTGATATAGTACAAGACTGTCATTTAGGGTAAGCTAGGTATTAATCCTGGTTACTGCACTAAAACTCACCTAGGGATATATTTTAAGGGAACTGATGAGTACTTTTTAAAACCAAGTGTCAGAGGCATTATTTGTTGTTTGTTTTTTTTTTAAAGGTAGACAAGTTTGGTTAAAATGCTAGAGGTTTATAGGAAAATATATATTTTCATCTTTTGAACCTATACAGGTTTGGATGTGTGGTGGAACCTTGGAGATTATCCCATGTTCCCATGTTGGTCACATCTTCAGAAAGAGAAGTCCTTACAAATGGAGGACCGGCGTGAATGTGGTGAAGAAAAACTCGATCCGATTGGCTGAAGTCTGGATGGACGATTACAAGAACTACTACTATGAGAGATTCAATTATGATCTGGTAGGACATGCCATGAAAATTATTTATTTTAACTTCTTTGAATTTGTTAATTTTGTTGTTAATTTTAGTCAATTAAAACCTTAAAATAACTTTTTTGTAATGTTCATAGAGTTCATAACATGTTTAGATTTTTAGCTCACCTGAGCTGAAAGCTCAAGTGAGCTTTTCTGATCACTTTTTGTCTGTCATCCGTCTGTCTGTCTGTCTGTCCGTCTGTAAACTTTTCACATTTTCGACTTCTTCTCAAGAACTGCTGGGCCAATTTCAACCAAACTTGCGACAAAGCATCCTTGGGTGAAGGGGATTCAAGTTTGTTCAAATAAAGGGCCACACCCTCATTCAAGGGGAGATAATTGGGAATTAATGAAAATTTGGTGGTATGATTTAAAAATCTTCTTCTCAAGAACCACTGTGCCAGGAAAGATGAAACTTATGTGGAAACATCCTCAGGTAGTGTAGATTCAAATTTGTTCAAATCATGACCCCCGGGAGTAGGGCGGGGCTAAAATGGGCGACCAAAGTTTTAAATAGAAATATATAGGAAAATTCTTAAAAAATCTTCTCAAGAATAGCCAAGCCATAATTGATCATATTTATATGGAAGCATCCTCAGGTAGTGAAGATTCGAGTTTGTTCAAATCATGACCCCCAGGGGTAGGGCGGGGCCAAAATGGCCGACCAAAGTTTTACATAGAAATATATAGGAAAATTCTTAAAAAATCTTCTTCTCAAGAATAGCCAAGCCATAATTGATCATATTGATATGGAAGCATCCTCAGGTAGAGTAGATTCAAATTTGTTCAAATCATGACCCCCGGGGGTAGGGCAGGGCCACAATGGCAGACCACAGTTTTACATGGAAATATATAGGAAAGTTCTTAATAAATCTTCTCATCAAGAATTGCCAAGCCATGATTGATCATATTTATATGGAAGCATCCTCAGGTAATGTAGATTCAAATTTGTTCAAATCATGACCCCCCCCGGGGGTAGGGTGGGGCCAAAATGGCCGACCACAGTTTTACATAGAAATATATAGGAAAATTCTTAAAAAATCATCATCTCAAGAATAGCAAAGCCATGATTGATCATATTTATATGGAAGCATCCTCAGGTAGAGTAGATTCAAGTTTGTTCAAATCATGACCCCCGGGGGTAGGGCGGGGCCAAGATGGCAGATTTTAGGGGAAATTTTTCCTCAGGTATTTAGTTTTCTAGTTTTTTCAAATCATGACCCCCGGGGGGTTTAAAATTCACCCCCCCCCCCCCCCTTTTTGAACTTTCGTTTTTAATCTGATATGTTTTTTCCTAGCCGATGTGCTCGGTGAGCGCTGTGGCCCCGGGGCCCTCTTGTTTTTTTTAAATTCACAATTGTCTATTGACGCTTTGCATAAAAAAACTCGTATTTTAAAAATCTAATGCAAACTAAGGTTTCTGTCATGAGACAGTAATACCCGCACTAAGGTGTTTGCCTCTAAACCCCACTTCTTCATATTGGGCTTTACCAAGGAAAAAGTCAATATAATTCAATAATTTACATATTACATGTTTTATCAAATTGAGCATAATTGCTCAGGTGACCATGTGACCCATGGGCCTCCATCTAATAAGTATTTCATATCCTTAATTAACTAGTCTGAATTAAACAACAGAATTAATTAATGATGTAAATAAGGTTTGATAAAGGGGGGGGGGGGGTTTTAAATTTTTGGCACATAATTGGGAATTTTTTTAAAACTATTTTCTCAAAATCTATAAATCAACAAATAATTTATTCAAAATTTGTTAAAGATTTTTTATGAATTTTTAAAAAAGTGCAAAGTTTTTTATTTTGACAAGGCAGTTCTAAACCCTTCTGAAAACTGCCTTACATGTTACACAATCAATTTGTAACCCCCCCCCCTCTCCCCTCCCCCAAAAAACACACCTTATTTGCCTGTTTTTTGGAAATAGGCCTAGATTTGGGAAAATTAAGATAAAACATCTTTCTAATTTTTAATTTTCAATTTGTTCTTGCACTATACATGTATTTGAACACCTGCATCACATTGGGCTTCCCTTTCCCAAATTCCCAAATACTAGTTTTACCATTGGCATTATAATTTTTAAAATTTTACTGCAGTGCAGTAGGCTACTTAGTGTGGTATACACATCGTTGCATATAGGAATTATTTCATTTTGTGTTTTAATTGGATTATATTTCATGAAGATTACAACCTAAATACAGTCAAACCTGTTTAAGGACCTTCCAATGGAGAAAAGGAAAAAAAAGGGCACATATGACAGGTGGTCTCTTAATACAGGTTGCTTATTTTTTGCAGTGTTCAAATATACAATGCTAAAAAAATCACATGTGTATGTTGAATGTATTTCATAACACCTTATGTTTATTTCCACTCTTTAATAGGTAACTCTTAACTCTAAAATGCTTTCATAATTATCCTGTTTTAAAAAAATAAAAATTTCTTGATTCCATATAAGTCCTTTGAAAATTTTGGGGGAAAATTGTGAACATCTAAAACATTAATATTTTATCATACAATATAAAAAAAATGCAAAGCCCCCCCCCCCCCCCCGTTTTTTTTTTTAAAATGATAGCCTTTTTTAACTTAGTATGTTTTGCATATTGCTAGGAAAAAACTTTCATGGTTTTTGTTATGCACTTGGAAAACAAAATTTTAAAAATTTTATTTATGACTGAAATATTTATTCAACCTAAATAATTTTTTTTTCATTACTGAACTACCGTGTTAATTGCCTGTTTTTGACCAGCTTTTTAAAACACATCAATTATCACATGGTGTGGGGGTAAGCGGTTTTACATCCCCCTTTTTTGACACAATGCACCCTTTAAAAAAACATCTTATGATTTAGTTACTTGTTAATTAAAGTTAAACAGGGAGGTTTTATAGCTGAATATCCATTTTTTCCTTATAGTATTTTAAAAAAACATGGGAATTGACCTGAAAGTCTGTTTCAAAATGGCGCTCGATCACTGGACAGTAGCCTAGGTCACGGGAAATCCCTTTTTACCCCCCCCCTCAAACGCCTTGGAGCCCTTTTTGTAAAAAAATTTTTACCCCCGGGGCGGCGCCTGTTTAAAAAACGTTAACTCTAAATTTTTATGGCGACTCCGCTGAGTCATTACATTTAAAAAGTAAATAAGCATATACTGTCAAACATTCTATATATTTCTTTTTTTTTTTAAAATTTAGCAAGTGATTAGAAAGTGTGTACTCAAACATTTAAATGATTAAATTTTTTCATCTGCAAACTCCTACACCTGCATACGCACTGTGTGTACCAGATGACTAATGACCTATATAAATTACTACGGCACACTGTTAAAAAATTTTTTAAATTCAAACATCAATTTCGGTATAACATTGACTTCCCCTAAACCCCTAGCTAGCACTGCAAATATGTCGAACCTATTTGCTAATTTTTCTCCCCGGCATACTTTCTGTAGTTTTTAAAAAGGAAAATTGATTCTAAGATCAGCCAAAACTCTGCTGTCAAATGTTTATTTTTGTTCAACCAATCCCGGCTTTATCAAATTCTGGATAACCCTCGTTCTGAAGTAAAAATATTTATAGTGGAATGCTCCTAGACGTTTGGGGTGAGACCATCCCTCGATGCAAACAAAGGGGAGGTCCTTAGTTAAATGGGGCAGAAAAATTTTTGGGGTGTTTATGTTTTAGATTTTTATGTTTATTCAATAAATATCAAAGCGTAAGTAAAAATATTATTTTTAAATGTCGATTTATTCGTAAAACTCGCATTATATAATTTTTAAATAAAAAAAAAGGTGTTTTTAGGTTTTTTAACCCCAAAAAAGAAGCATGCTCGACCAAAATCGAAAGTAAGAATCGGAAATTATGTAGTCGTTAAAATTTTTGGGGGAAAAAATTTCTTGAAATTCCCAAAAATTGGGTTTGGGGAATCATTCTTTTCCTAAGACAGGGGCTTTAATACGGTAAAATATAGGGAAAAGCGTTGGGGGGGAATTTTTTTGGTCACATATGACAGTGAGTCCCCTTTTTAAAACAGTGGGGGGGCTTGGCAGTTTTGACTGTAATGACAATCGGTAAGTACAAAGTTTTTGGGAAGATTTGGGTAAAATAGTTGAAATCCCAAAAGGGTTTGGTTCAAGTTTAAAGGATCAAAAGGGATCCACTCTTTGACATTCTGAAGAGTTATCCCCCGTTATCAACGTTACATTCAGTTACAAGATCCAGAATTTTTTTTCTGGGACTGGGAGGGAGGGGGGTTTCCAGACCAGAATTTCCTGAGAAGCTAAAAAAAAAAAAAAAAGTTATGTTTGGGTCTGTTTTCTGGGGGGAAGGGGAAAATTGGGGCATACAAAGTCATTTTTATTTCCTTTCCCGTATATATTTAGTCCTGCAAATTCCAAGGGGGGGGGGGGGGGGGAGAGGGCGATAGCCAATCCACCCCCCCCTGTCCCTGTAATGACAAATGATCATGTGACTCCTAAATAGTTGGAAAGTTTTTCCATTTGACTCTCC